GAATGAGAAAGTATTGGAAGTGGTGGTGGAAATAAGTGGAGTGAAAAGGAGTGATTTTAACAAGTGGAAAGACAATCGGTGTTGGAAGTGTTGGTAGCGGTAGTGGAAAGAAGTGGAGTGAAAATGAAAGTGATTTTGACAAGTGGAAAGACAATCGGTGTAGGAAGTGTTGGTAGCGGTAGTGGAAAGAAGTGGAGTGAAAATGAAAGTGATTTTGACAAGTGGAAAGACAGTCGAAGTGTTGGAAGTGTTGGTAGCGGTAGTGGAAAGAAGTGGAGTGAAAATGAAAGTGATTTTGACAAGTGGAAAGACAATCGGTGTTGGAAGTGTTGGTAGCGGTAGTGGAAAGAAGTGGCGTGAAAATGAAAGTGTTTTTGGCAGGTGGAAAGACAGTCGAAGTGTTGGAAGTGCTGGAAGTAGTGGTGGAAAGAAATGGAGTTAAAATGAGTGATTTTAACAAGTGGAAAGACAATCGGTGTTGGAAGTGTTGGTAGCGGTAGTGGAAAGAAGTGGAGTGAAAAGGAAAGTGATTTTAACAAGTGGAAAGACAATCGGTGTTGGAAGTGCTGGTAGCGGTAGTGGAAAGAAGTGGAGTGAAAAGGAAAGTGATTTTAACAAGTGGAAAGACAGTCGAAGTGTTGGAAGTGTTGGTAGCGGTAGTGGAAAGAAGTGGCGTGAAAATGAGTGATTTTAACAAGTGGAAAGACAATTGAAGTGTTGGAAGTGCTGGAAGTAGTGGTGGAAAGAAGTGGAGTGAAAATGAAAGTGATTTTGACAAGTGGAAAGAGAATTGAAGTGTTGGAAGCAGGTAGCAGGAGGATCGAGCTGTTGGTATCGAGTGGAATGAAAATGAAAGTGTTGGAAGTGGCGGCAGAGAGAAGTGGATGAAAGCGAAAGTGTTGGTAAGAAACGATGGAATGAAAATGAAAGTGTTGGTAGAAAGACGTGGGGTGAAAGTGCTGGTAGAAAAAGATGGAATAAAGTTGAAAATGTTGGTAGAAAAAATAAATGAAAGTGAGTGTTGGTAGGAAACGATGGAACGAAAGTGAGTGTTGGAAGCAGTGATAGAGATGGAATGATGAAAATGGTAGAAGAAGATGGAATAAAGTTGAAAATGTTGGTAGAAAAAGATGGAATAAAAATGAAAATAGTAGAAAAAAAGATGGAATAAGAATGAGAATGTTGGTAGAAAAAGATAAAGTAAAAATAATGGTAGAAAAAGATGAAATAAAAATGAAAATAATAGAAAAAGATAGAATGAAAATTAAAATGGTAGAAAAGGATAGAATAAACATGAAAATGTTTAAATGCAAGAACTACAGTACGAATCAAACCATGAAATGGCGATTGAAGAAGTAAACAAAAATAAAGGAAAATACATACAAAATAAAGGAAAAATACATACAAAAATAAAGGAAAAATACATACAAAAATAAAGGAAAAATACAAACAAAAATAAAGGAAAAAAAAGAAAAAAAGAAAAATATACACAAAAATAAAGGAAAAATATAAACTAAATTAAAGGAAACACATAAACAAAATTAAAGGAAACACATAAACAAAATTAAAGGAAACACATAAACAAAAACTAGAGGAAAAAAATGTAAACACAAATATAGGAAAAATGCCCCCCCCCCCAAAAAAAAAAAAAAAATCGATACCTAAAAAAAATCAGCCTAAAATCCAATCTATCTGAAGCGTAACAAAAGTAAAGCAAAAATATAAACACAAATAAAGGAAAAATGCAAATAGCAATCGGGAGCGAAGAAGAAGCGCCGGATTGGCCTCACTTTCGGGAATCGGCTTCGTTGCTTCACGCTCCGAGGGCGAGGATTTACGATTCGTTATATCCGGGTCGTGGTTCGTGCCCCCGGTGCGTGTTGCCGGGCGGTCGCCGTGTGAGTTCGGGGCGGGGGGAGGAGGGAGGAGGAGGAAGGAGGAAGGGGGGGAAGGGAGGAGGAGGAATGGGGGGGGGGAGGAGGGGGGGAAGGGGGATGGAGGAGGAAGGGGAGGAGGAGGAGGGGGAAGGGGGGATGGGGAGGAAGGGGGTAGGAGGGGATGGAGGAAGGAGGGGAGGAGGAGGAAGGGGGGAAGGGGGGAATGGGGGATGGGGGGGGGGGGAGGGGGGGGGGGGAAGGGGGGGAGGGAAGGGGGGAAGGAGGGGAGGAGAGGAGGGGGGGGGATGGGGGATGGGGGAGGAGGGGGGTAGGAGGAAGGAGGAAGGGGGATGGGGAGGAGGGGGGAGGAGGAAGGTGGATGGGGGAGGAAGGGGGGAAGGGGTGAAGGGGGATGGGGGATGGGGATGAGGAGGAAGGGGGAGGAGGAGGAAGGGGAAAGGGGGAGGAGGAAGAGGAAGGGAGGAGGAGGAAGGAGGATGGGGGGAGGGAAAGGGGGAAGGTTTGAAGGGGGGATGGGGAAGGGGGGATGGGAAAGGGGGATGGAGGAAGGGGGAAGGGGGGGATGGGGAATGGGGGGAAGGGGGAATGGGGAAGGGGGAGGGGAGGAGGAGGAAGGGGGGATGGGGGAGGAAGGAGGAGGGGGGATGGGGAAGGGGGTGGAGGAAGGGGAGGAGGAAGGGGGGAATTCATAGCTAAGATGGTGTAATATTGTGGGTCCGATATCTTCACTTATTCTCTAAAAACCAATTTTTTTATTATTATTGTTATTCTTTATTTATTCTCTAAAAACTATTCTTTTTTATTATTATTGTTTTTTTTTCATTTAATTTTTCCGTGTGGTGTTTCGTAATCTTGAACTGGCGATTAAAAATATTCTATTTTATTGTTATTGTTTTTTCTCATTTTACTTTTCCGTGTGGTTTCGTAATATTCTTGAACTGACAATTTACAACTCTAGATATTGATTCAATATTCCATTGGATACATTCACACTTACATTCATAAACAAACGCTCACTTGCCCGTGTTTTACATCCGAGCCATCAACATATACACACACGCACACTTAATACAATCAGACCCAAAAACAGACACAGACACACACCCACACGCACGCCACGTACACACATACTTACAAAATCACACACAGACTCTCCGTCTCTCTCTCTCTCTCTCTCTCTCTCTCTCTCTCTCTTCTCTCTCACGCACGCACGGAGTCTACGTTCTCCTTCCCTATAATTTCTCCATTAACTAAAAATCGTGAGAGTCTCCTAGCTAAATTGGCGCAGCGGCTTCGATACAATCAGATCAAGACGAGAAGGAGCCAAGCCATTGCGGTGACCTTTTCGAGAGGTAGGCTGGGTCAGTAGCAACTCGAGGTGGTGTCATGGGGTCTGTTTTGATGATTGTTCAGTGAAAATATGACCTATTTTTTTTAGATTTGGGTTATGTAATCTCCGTTTAAATGCTATGTTTTTTTTAGCTGTGCTTTTGAGGTGTCATATTTGGGGCTACATTTATATGCATGATTTTGCTGGTTTGTTAGTATTGAAGTTGGTGCATTTCACCTTTATCGTTATGAATAATAAAAAAAAAGTCGGATGGTTCCTAACCTCACCAAATTGTAGCTAATGTAACCTATCCTGGATTAAACTGATTTACGATCAAGTTTATGTGAGAAAACGAAATTTGGAGTCTCCTGGTCAGATTTGAGCCTAACCTAACCTAACCTAACCTAACATTAAGATCATTTATTTTCCATCCTTTTTGAAATTTGAAAAGAGCAAAATGATCGACCAGATTCACGAAGCATCCGTAACTTTTTGTGAAGTCATCAAAATAAACCCCCACGTGTTTTTTTTTTTTTTTTTTTTTTTTTTTTTTAAATAGAATCAGACGCCATGACACCTCCTCGAGTTGCAA